CCTTTTTCTATAATTACATATAGCAATGATTTGATCTATGCCGTTTTATAAACAACTATTTTGACACCATATTTACCCCAAGCTGACTATTCTTTCTGTCCCCTTGATTGCTGTTTTTGATACATTTTGGAGGTTTAGCGAATTCCTTTTGGGAGTTAGGTTTTTCCTTCAAACTAATGATTTCCTCTTCCATGGGTGAGATTTGACTTTCTGGCACCAGAATCTGTTGGGGAGAATGTGGAAAAAAGTATTTCAAACTCCAAACCACACAAAGTTCTCAAAAATCACTGGCTGTCTTAATCAAGTGCCTACTCATCCCACACTTGCGTCAATTCTTTCTGTCTTCCATGTACCTAGTCCTACAGATTGACCCAACAAAAAAGCATCCACGTTTCAAACGTCAACAGACATAAAACCAACTCTGGCATTAGAGGCAGGACATATATTTCTAATTTTTAAAGTTATCAAAACTACTAATAACCATCTTCTGTACTAAAATAATAACATACTTTAAAAATCCCATACATCTCATTGGGGCACTCTCTATGCTGAGACGAGGTATCTTTTAGATACTCACCCTCCAACATCATACTGTCCTATTACTTATGGTTCAGCTTAGCCCAGTGATAAAAATCAAGTAAGTCAGACACATACCTGTGATCCACTTGCATCAAAAATTATATGCACGGATGTTTTGGCAACGGAAATACCTTGTTTTCTGGTAAATTCCTAAAATTAATTCAAAGAGATGTCATTTTCTTCAGTTCCTTCTATTTGAATGCAATTATCTCCTGTTTCCTTTCAAAACTGCTGTATTATCTCAAATCATTATTTTGCGTACGTAAATACCCTTCTCAGAATACCATAATGTCTCTTCACTAATCAGTCTTCCTAGCCTGCCATTTTGGTGAGGGTCCCTCAGAAACACAGTCTCTTTTTCTTTACCATAAATCTTTCCCGCAGCTATAAACTGAATGTGTCCCCCCCCAAATTCACATATTGAAACCTAATCCCCAAGAGATGGTATTAGGAGGTGGGGCCTTTGGGAGGTTGAGTGGGTTATCAGGGCAGGGCCCTCATGAATGGGATCAGTGCCCTCATGAGACCCCAAAGAGCTCCTTCACCCCCTTCTGCCATGTGAGGACACGGCGAGAAGCTAGCCACTGTGAACCAGGAAGTGGGCCCTTACCAGAAAATAAGTCTGCTAGCACCTGATCTTGGACTTCTAGCCTCCGGAACTATGAGAAGTCAATGTGTGTCACTGAAACCACCCAGTGTATGGTATTTTTGTTACCGCAGCCTGCACAGACTAAGACATGCATTACCCAAGCTTGTCAACGGGATATCTCCCTCAAACTTAACATGAATTGTCACCTTATGAACTCATGATGTCTTCCACAATTCTAGAAAGCACCTTATCTAAACTACACCCATCAATTTCCAAAGCCATTCCAAGCCCCGTCTCCAAAGCCTTTCCTTTAAGTCTCTTAACGAGCATTCTCTTTCCTCAGCTTCTATACCCCATTTTCCCTATGCCACTCATTCACTTCTTCTGGGGGACAGTCTGCAATTCTCACAATGTTTACTATCGTAAAAACAGGGTTTTGTCTCAATTCACTTTTTAAACACCTAGCAGGAATTTTGTTAGATGTTTTGAGTACTGCAGCTGATTTTGTGATCTGAGATTCTAAACAGGTGTCTCAAGGATACAACTAACAATCTGATGGCTATTCCACATTACAAATTTTAAAAACTAAAATCTACATGTCATTTTAAGAATTCTAGGGGAAAAAAAATCGATGAAACTTATAGCCCCAAATAACTAAGTTTCCAGAATTATGAAAATAAATATTTATTTAAAAGAATTTGATGAAAGTATGTATTAAAAAGAATTAAAACACTTACCCTGTATTTATTTGCACCCAAAATTTTTTGTGTCACACTAGCAATTTCCAATGATGCATCAAAATACAGAAGCAATTTTTTCCCTTCTCTTTTACTAATTTTTACTGTATTTTTCAAGATTATGGTCAGGAGCTTCTTCGATTCTCTCACTGCACATAGACAAATCATACTGATTAGTTTACATTCATTTCTATGCTGCCACTCTATAGGTACAGTATAAATAAGAAAGTCATGCAGCATATTCATTAAATCGAAATAATATTAACTTCTGGATCTAACAATATTTAATTAATTCTGGGACTAACTATCTATGCAAACAAATCAATTGAATTTATTTTTCCGAGTCTTCTGATCGATGAGTTACAGGCTAATAACTAATAAGCTAAAGCCGTAAATATGTTTTGGACACTCACAGGTTCTTAGTAAATATTTCTGGAACACATCTAAGGGAACTATTTGCTTAACTTAAAAGAGGCAAACGAAATAACTTCAGTTCCATACATAAATAAGTATATTTTTAGGCAAAAGCATCTATTCAAACATTTCTGTTAAAGCCAGTTGTTACAAACAAGTTGACAGTCAACAACGGTCAAAAAACTTGAGTGCCAGGAAACTGAAGAAGAATACGGTGCAATTCCTCATGAATTCACTGATCCAGTGAAAACAGTTAGTGCCAGTGTGTAAGAGGGATTTAGCTCCCTTCGGAATCACTTGGCATCCAATTCAAGTGCCTGTACTATGGACTACAGGCCACCAGGGTCCTGTCCTACTCTGCCAGTGCTCCTGTTGACTGGCAAGTCATCACACCTGCCCCCAGTGTACACTTTGGGGCAGGCGGAAAACACCCTGATGGAAATGGAGCACACCACGTAGAAAAATTTCTCTACATCAGGGAAAGCTCTACTGGCTACTCCATGACCTAACCCACGGGATAACTGTCTCCATTGGCTATAAAATTCTGATCGCTATGTGGCTTACTCAAGCAGAATATGGGTTGTTTTTGCAACGATATGGTCATGAAAGCTTCCAGAGTAACATCTGTCATGGTAATAAGAATTATTAATTGCTTGAAGACAGTGGTGACAGTCTCTAATTTAAAGAGTGTGGTGGTTTTATTGTGGGAAAAAAAGTCATGTGTGTCAACAGGAACAGGTATTCAGACTTTAGAGATGAAAGTTTTGGTGACTTTGAAGACAATAATGTTTTGAATGCTGATGATGAATATTAGAAAATTTATAATCCTGATGTATATTTTTGCTGATTATTTTATCGCTGATCTGATTTTTTTCTGCAGCTTGCTATGAACTAGTAAATGAAACATTTACTTCGCTGCTTACATAACCACGGTATTAGAAATTACTTCCAATGTTGCTGAATGCTTTGTGCCTTTATGTGCAAAGTATCCTCCACATATATTGTAACTATATAAGAATTAGTTGATATTTGTTATCTTTTATTGTCGGCTTTGTTGAAACTTCTGGTATTTCCTTTGACTGCGTGGACTATGTCATGGCTTGTTTTTAATTAGCAATATTACTGAGATATCAGAAAAGTCATTTTATTGCTTGCTAAAGAATCCGAGTATTTACAGATAAACATATTTGGACCTTATGTTATCTACATACCCATAGGAGATTCTAATACACTATAGGTACATGAATATAATATGTTTTCTGCTGCAAAGGCATTTAAAAAATTTTTAAGATCATCCATGGAGACTAAATAAATAAAAATTCTTACATATTATATACAAAAGGGTCTAACTGCATGCACCCCATTGTGCTGCCTCCTCATCCCCTAGTCTGCAAGTATACTAACTGATCTCCAGGTTTTGCTTTTTTGTTTTTTACTTCCATGGGTGCCATTATGTAAAAATTCGGTCTTGCCTGCTCCATACAGGTTACATTAGATTACCACATTATTATGAAGGATATTAAAGGATACAAACAAACAGCCAGGTGGAGAGATAAGTAGCGTGAGGTCTGGAAGGGTCCGGAGACAGGAGCTCCTATCCCTGTGAATTTTAGGTTGTACCACCCTCCTGGCACAATGATACATTCTTATTCACCAATCAGGAACCACCCCCCCAAACACTTTTAATCCACATATAAAGAACTTATTTTTTTTTTATAAAAGTATCCTCGTAAAATCAGGATGAGTTTTATATCGGAAAATCTTAAAAATCAACTTCAAGTTATGCTATTAAAACAATGAAAATAACTTTTTTTTGCCCAATTATGTGCAGCTACACTTGGCAAGATGCAAGTCACAACCGCATTAAGAATTGGCAGCAGTGATTGGCGTGAAAATAGAGGAGAGAGAAGAAATTGAAAAGATTTTAAGAGACAGTAAAAAATGGATGTGGAAAAAGATCAGTTAAGGGAAGGAAACGATCAAGAGTGGCTTCTGTATGGGGCAGGGGGAGCTGGAAGGTTATCCTAC